AACGCTCTTCCGGCTATAATGTTTTCCTTATTGTAAAATTTGGAGACACTTTTATTTTTCAAAACTAAAGGTGTGTGAACTATTGCCAAAGTTAAATACTTTTAAAAAGATTCTTTGTAATTCAATAATTTATAAATCGATTATTAAATTACAATGTATAGATTTAAAAATGAATATTTTCCCCCCAAGGACCGTTGCATAAACCGAGTTAAATAAAGCAAACAAGATAATGAAGGTTATTTTGAGTCGGACTTAATACAAAGTTTAGTGGAGATTAGTTATGAATTCGAACTAATTATAGCTTAAAACCGTGGCTTAATAAACTTAACTAACTACATAACTACTGAAATAGAAGGTTGTATAAAGCAATTAGTGAAATTTATTATTAAATAATTAAAATATGTATAATAAATTTTAGCATGCAAAATGAACATATTTTATTAGTAAAATGTTTATGAAACATTTTTTTTTAAATTATCAACTCTCAACTGTATTGAGGGTGGATAAACATTAAAACGTTATTTCATTAAAAATTAAGACCGCAAGTTTCAAAAACAAAAGTATTTGTACGTACTAATCTTTGATGTAGTTAGAAGCTTGATTGCTACTCTTTAATCACATTCTGCCAGTTCTTTGTTTACCTGTAATCAGAAAATTTTCATTATTTGCTAACATTCATTTTTATAAATTATTAAGCGTTGAAAATAATATGAACAACTTGTCCAAACAAGTAAGCCTTTAAAAAGGTAAAATTAAAAATTAAATAAGTTTAATTGTTTTAACTTAAGCTTTTGCCCACACGGCTTTTATTCACAGCACGAAAAATGTATTCAGTATTTTTACATAAAGGTTTTTTTATATCACTGAATAACAGCCAAATGAATAAATTTTGCCACGTCCTCGTCAGAGCGTTTGGGCGTTTAAATTAAAAATAAATAATTGGGTAAACTCGCTTCATTAAAAATTTCTCATTAATAATACAAATAGAATTCGTATCATCAAGCAAATTAACTTTTTGTTTAACTTGAAACCTTTTTCTAGGGGGTTGAATTGAAAATAATATTTTCAAAACTTTCAGGAGGGAAGGGCAATTGTTTTGTGTAAAAACAAAATAAAGCGTGCCATTAAAAATTTGAAATCTGTGAATCGTGGTGTAATTATAAATAATAATAGTTTTATTACATAATACCATAATAGTAGATGAATACACGATACTTAATTAAGTAGATTAGATGTAAGTGTGGGTGTGTGTGTTTGTGTGAGAGAGAGAAAAATTACTAATTTATCAGACCCCCAATGAATTACAATAATTAACAGCGCGTACTGAATGCACATCTGCACAATTAAAATAAGCGTTGTTTATGTTCATTATTAGATTTTCTCTTTCGTTTACTTGATGTTCAATTAAACGGTAAACAAATATAGTGAAGAATTATATGTAAATTGAATACTAACTAATGAAACTTACTTTTCAGTTTAAAACCTCTACCAGAATTTTGCATAGTAATTTATTTGTAACTCGTTATTTATACATTTTATATGTTTTGTTGTTCTCCTAGTAACAACATTGACTATGGCCAACATTGCACCCAGAAGATTCCGTAGATGTTCCAAGCCTACTGTTAACTTGTCTGTTAAGGATCGTGTTCTGTTCTACGTCAGTTTGGCAAGAGAGTTTTTTCAATGTAGATGAACTTTGTTCATTTTTCCTCCTTTAATTTTGCACCAGAAAGGACAAGGTGTTCTTGGAGATTGTCGAGACTGTTGGGACAAGATTCGAGTTAGGAGAAAGTTACAATATCATTTGCATCGTAATGAGGGTGTAGGGGTGTATAGGAACTTTATTAGTATAAATGGTGGACGGAATGGGACCAAGAATGCCCCCTTGCGGGACGCTGACTTGTATTGTTCAGATTTCCTGTTATAATGTCTCACCTCACTCTGAAAAAATGAATTTATAGAGGATGCCTGGGTGCAAGAGCTCATCATTATATTTTATTTATTTTTATATTACATTTTATCTCATATTTATTCCAGGTCAAACTCAATTCAAGGTTTAAAAACACAGAATTTTGTTAATTTTTTACAGCAAGTTCACAGCTTAGGACATGTTTAATCATCATAATTGGTTTTACAAGAAATACTATATTTAAATTATAGAGGATGCCTGGGTGCAAGACCTTATCAATATAATTTATTTATTTTTATATTACATTTTACCTTATATTTTTGGAGGTCAAACTGAATTCAGGGTTTAAAACACATAATTTTGTTAATTTTTTATACCAAGTTCATAGCTTAGGACATGTTCAGTAATCATAAATGGTTTTAAAAGAACTAAACAAAAAAAAATGTGTGGTGATTTGTGACCGTTAGTCTATGATTGTTCGGAAATCGTGAGATGGGGTCTGGTAGGACGTAGGTTTCAGAAAAACATTTTCTTTATCGTGCCAACGTTTCGATCTTTATTGAGATCATCTTCAGGGCTCATAGTGTTTGTTTACTGCGTAATTGTGCCATTCTTGCGTGTCGTTTCCACTGTTTTTCTGAAACCTACGTCACACCAGACCGCAACTCACGATTTCCGAATAATCCTAAACAAAATAATTTAACTGTTCAGGATTTTCGTATTTTATTGCCAGTCATTAATAACACTGTACATATTGCACAAAACAAAAGTTTCAATAATCAGTGATAACACGTCCGTCAATTTTGCTTTGTATTTTCCATTGTAAAGCAACATAGATCAAATAGAAAAGAACTCTACTTTGGTGGTTCCATTTTTCTTGGTTGTACAAAGAAGTGATCTAGACCGACTTGACGTGATAGGATTATGACAGACGAAAGCTGTCATAGATGTCAAACTCGTGACAATAAAGCAGATTGGAGGGACTCTTCTTCGACGATATTCGCGTTCTTATAATTATTTTTATACCCTTCCATACATCCACGTTTTGTGTTCCAAACAAAATGGAAAACCCAGAGTCATCAATCGATAGCGAGACGAGAAGGACTTACATCGCGGATTTAATTATTTATGTAAGTAGGAAATATAGCGCCGCTGGAAAACTTCTACAAACTTTTATCATCTCGTATATCACTTCTTTGGATAACAACGTTTAAACAGTTCAACGAGGAACAGCCTTGAGGGCGGGTTTAATTTATTAGCAGAAAATTATTTGTGTAACAATCAGTGTCAGACTAATAAGCTAACAACTTAGAGAAGATGTGATAGAATATGACAGTCTATTAAGAATAAGTTTTACTCGTTCGTTTATCATCACTGTTTGCATGTGAGACATACTTAATCTAATCACCAGACAGATTTATAAAAGTTAAATAAAATTCCTATCTTAACAATACTTAACAAACGTCTTTATCTAACCATAATTATAACTGTAATACAAAGAACAGTCTAAAAAATAATAAGACAAATAATTCAGAAAAAATAAGCACCAAAAATTATTTTCAGCCATAATTTTTTCTTTTTTTCTGTTTGGATTCATTCAACAGATTTATTTTCATTGTCTTCATTATAAAGCAATGCTTTATCTCTGTCGCGAGAACAAAAGAAAACGGCCACATTTCTATAGAGTTAACAAATTATAAAACGTTCGTCAATTGTTACTTTGTTTTTGTTTGAATGACACGAAGAGAAGCTTCGTAATAAATAAAGACAGGATTTTCGTACGGTAAAACCTTCAAAACCTGCAAGAAAAACTTCGAAACGTACAAAAATGTGTAATAAAAACTTAATAAACTTGTAATAAAGATAACAAATCCCATTTAAAATAGTAACAATTTTAACATGGGCACTCTCAACACGGCACAATTGGGCAAGAATGGCACAATTACTCAGAAGACAAACACTTTGAGCCCTGAAGATGATCTCAATAAAGATCGAAACGTTGGCATGATAAAGAAAATGTTTTTCTGAAACCTACATCACACCAGACCGCATCTCACGATTTCTGAATAATTTTAACAGTTTATTTTATAATCAAACTTTATTGTATTACATTTCATTAGGTTTCGTGGTCCACTTGACCAATTAAATTCTTTTCAATTAATTAAGGTTTTGGTTGAGATGAAAAGAATGGAAAATTCAAAAAGGTGGGGGTTGAAATGGGAAGTTAGTGTCCGACTGAATCGAAGGCACGATAGTTCAAGTGGTAGAGCAGCGGCGTATTTTGCCGAAGGTCGTGGGTTCGAATCCAGCTCGTAACATTCACTTTTTTATCTCAACCAAAACCTTAATTACTTATTATATAATATATATTATATTATTGTTATTATATTATATTATTAATAATATATTAATATATATCATATATATTTTTTTAAATATATATTCATAATATATTTTAAATTCATTTTTTATACGCAATATGTACAAAGGTACAATGAAATTAATTAATCTTTTTATGTAAGGTTTTGGTTGAAATGAAAAAGTTAGTGCCACGAGCGGGATTCGAACCCACGACCTTCGGCTCTATACGCCGCTGCTCTACCACTTGAGCTATCGTGACTTCGATCCGCCCCGATACCAACTCCCCATCTCAACCTACAACTATATTTATAACTAAATTTAATAATATACAACTAGATGAGAAAAATAAGATAAGTTTTAAAGTTTATAAAATATGCATCGAAGAGCGTAAGTGTTTCTATACAATCATCCGATTAGCAAAACAATTAATCAACTATTTAGAAGCCATTCACTTGTTTTATCTTTATAATGATCCAATTAGCAAAACAATTAATCAATTATTTATAAGTCATTTATTGATGTTTCCTTATAAACCAAATTGTTCCTTGTTAGTTCAAATTAACAACTTAAACGCCCTTGGAGTTTTTTTTTTACTCCACGCGGCCGTTTTACTAAAGCGACTAATTGTTCTGTAATTGTAATTCCGTGCGAGTCTTTGTCCAATTGGGCACCCCCTTCTGCCCAATGGACGGACTCTCCATTATTCCGATGATGTTTGCTTCCGGATAAACTACTACATAATGGATCCGTCTCACTTAAAGGCTCATCAGGCTCTTATCGCATTTTCGCCGACTGAGCGGGTCAGTTAAAATTGAAATGGTACCATTTGTAATTCTAATTAGCAAATAAGGAACTTTGAAATTGGGAACGGATGAGTTTGAAAGCGATCATTTTGTATCTTAAATGTCCTGAGGAATATTGAGTGCAAAAAGAATCGGGTGAAGAAATTTTGTTCTATTTCCTTTTAAAATTTAATTTGTTTTATATTTTAGAAAATTCGCTCAAAAGTGTAATTAGTTCGGCACTAGATCATCTTTTGTTCGTTAACTGTAAGTACTTTAGTGTTTACTGAAAATCTAGTCTAAAAATTTGTTCAGGCCTATACTTTATTAAAACTAAACCTATCTAAACTTAAATAAATTTATGTTGTTTTAAAGAAAAACATTGTCAAGTAACGTTTTAGGCGGTGGAAGTTTAAGTTAAATTGATTAAATCCAAGGGGGTTATTCCCTAGAAGGGGGTTGGTCATACTATTTCTGTTTTATATTTTCAACGAAAGGTATACAGTCAATAACTTCTCATAAACTACTTAACTTCCCACTCATTTTCCCAACCTACTTGACCTAAAAGGCGGGTAATGGGAACTAATAATAGAACCTGGGATTAATCACATGTAAGATATGTATTTAAGCTTGAACACCACACGTTCAAAATTCATTTAATTGTTCATATTTTATAAATATTATAGTATGAGTACAAAGGGTGTTACAGGGTTAAATGTCAGTATTACCAAGGTGGATTCAATAAATAAAACGACGTTCAGTGCCACTAGAACGAGGTTTTTATATTGTCTCTTTCCTGATATATTAACATTTTTGTGATTTTAGTCTAAAATCAGATTTTTTTACATCTTTATTTTACAAACTGCATTAAATTTTCCACATGATAACATTTCCGTTGAATTCACGCTTCCGAATACACAGTAGCCGCTTAAAGAATGAGGAAAATCCATGTTTTATTGGAAATACTCAATTATGGCAATGATTTCACCAAATTTTAAATAAGATTATTTTCTAAGAATTCCAAGGACAAATTCATTTTCATATTTTTTGGAATTTGTCTTAGTGAAATCTCCTTTACAAGGTTGAAAAGCGTGATATCGAGATATACCCAAGGAGTGCAGCAACCCGTGAATATCGTACACGTCATATTTTTAATAAAAACATTTATTAGTTGGTAACCGAAACCACCCGACACAATTTTCCATAAGAATTTATAACCCCCGCGCACATCTGCCCGATGCTACGCCATGCTACCCTACTCTATGTTACGCGATGCAACGAAGATACACACTCCCCAGATTTTCGTCGAGTAGCGTCGAGTATAGTCGAAGACATAAGAACCGGACACTCTTATTTTTATTTCAAACTATATGTATTATTGTTATATTAATTACAACATACTTATTTTAACATAAATAAATTAAGTGAGATCAAAAATTCATGTTTTTATTTTCTTTTAAATTAATTTTAATGGTTTGGCAGAAAGAATTCTTTCATTGAGGGTTTTTCTCTTCATTTTCCTAATCTATTTAGAAAAAATTCTCCTTAAAAGACTATTGCCAAAATTAAATTGTTCTAACTTTATCCCAGGCCATCAGTTTGCTTTCGCCCCCATCATTTCACAGTCCAGCAAGTGTTTCACGTTATAGACCGAACATCCTTCTCCCTTGAGCGCAAAGAATATTGATGTAGCACAAGCGTTTGACCCCGTGAGGCACAGGGGTTCTCTGTACAAATTAAAGCCTGTACTTCCAAACCATCTACTTAACCCACCGCTCTTATCTGACAAAGCGGTTCTTTAGGGTCCGACAAGGATCAGATAGTTACTCAAGATACCGCTGTCAGAGTACCGCAGGGCAGTGTGCTCGGACCAATCCTTTATATGTTCCCATTAAACCTACCTCCCTTGTTGCATCTTTCGCCAATGACACAGACCGCTAACCCCGGTTCTGCGGTTGTTTGTGTCCTACAGAGAGTTATCAATGTATGGCAGATTTGTGTGCAATGGAAAATGCAGATAAATGAAAACAAGTGCGTCCAAGTCACATTTACACCCCGAAGCAAATCCCTTCTTTCCATATACCACAATAACAAATCGGATTGCGTTCAGTACCTTGGATTCACATAGGCTCACGTGGAAACAGCATATACGACTGAAAAGACAAGACCTTAACAGACACTACTTTTCAAACTTATAAGACGACAATCCATTTTCTCGACGAAAAACATACTTACAATCAATAAAACGCTACTACAACCGATTTGGACATACGGTATAGAACAGTGATGAACCGCTAAGCCTTACAATATCCAAAATCTCCAATCCTTTTAATCTAAAGTCCTCAGATCAATAATAGATGCTCCGTATTATGTCTACAATAATATCCTCCTTAAAAACCCATTTATCCAAAAATTAATTTCCTAAAAATTTACCAAGTTCACAATAATCTCTACCATCATTTGTACCTTGTGCTACAGAACCAATCCCGACAGTCCCATAAAGCGTTTCAAGAAAAATGGCCCCGTGATTTCCTTAATAGTAGGTTGTGAAGTTTATTTAGTGGAATGTGAGGATAATATTGATTATTTACTCCCCTCAATGTAAATATGTAAATAGTCTAAAATATATCGATGTGTCATCAAAATACATATTGTAAGCAGAAATTGTAGATTGTAATAAATGCCTAAGGTTAAAAAAATTATATTTTTTAACCGAGTCAATCGAGTCACGACAGAAAATTATTAGAGTGGCTCCCCTTCTCAAACACCTAAAATCACAAACCTTTCGTAAATACAATTAATGCACAGGTTTTAATCTAAATGAATTGTAAACAAACTTAATACTCGAATAGCATTAATTTACGTTCCCATTTGAAATTCTTCGAGATCTTTGAAAATATCAGCTTTTGAAAATTATGCTCTAATAAAGTTCACGACATTGAGTGATTGTTTTTCTAATTAAATTATTTCTGAAATATAAATACACTTTTATGATTCTTCGCTGGATTAGATTTAAATTAATGAAAATTACAATGCTTGATAAAAATTTAACTAGTTATCGTTTATATCAAAATTCATAACGCTTTTAAACAAATGTTCAATTTTTCTATTTTAATATTTTTGTTATTAAAACCACTATTCAATATGACTGTCGTAAAAGACAGTCATATCTCATGTTGATAACAAATTGTTAGAAGCTTGGCTGCCACCGTGATGGGTGAGGGCTTTCAAATCTGACACTCATTAGAAAACTGTCACTCCTGTAATAAATAATGAGAAGCACCTAGTTATGAAATTTTCCAAACGTGTAAAGTTCCTTTTGTCCTTAGAGCATTTTTAATAAATCAAATAAAATCTCAAATGTTATTTTGTATAGACAATTTACGATTCAATAATTTTTTCATCACAATCAATGCTGCTTTTGTACCTTGATACACTGACACACATTGCGGTAAAAATAACAAGTTTTCGATCGATTTAGAAAAACCATTCAAAAAATGATTGAAAATATAAAGTAAAACAAGTTAAACTGGTGCTCTTCTATGGGCTAACTTTAAGCACCATATATGCCTTTCGTCTCGCCATGACCATCTCTGAAGCCGAATATAGAAACCTGGGTACATGAAATAAACCTCCAAGGTGCACTCATTATTAACTATTGATTCCTTCAGATAGTCAGGCAGTTTTAAAAGTTCTCCGAACCTACGACCATTATACCAAAACATGACTGGAAAAGCCTTATTACCCTAAAGGTTGGGATTTTCAATTACCTAACGCTACAGTGGGACCCAGGTCATGAGTGAATTACATGTAACATGACAGCAGTGGCCTGCTAGGGTTCCGCAAAGCAGCGTACTGGCCTTCATTCTGTATCAACTTTGCAAAACTAACAGTCAAACTCGTACGCAAATAATTAATGTTGTCAAGTAACATAGATCTAGTACTTTCGTCTCTAATCTTCAGCATTATCTCACACTGTTGAAATCTTGGTGAAAGGAAAACAAGGTTGAAATGAAATGCGGTAAAATCCACCCACAATTCACCCTCCGCAAAAGATCCCTACTTTAATATTATTTATTATATTATTTCCTAACTCAACAGCGGAAAAGGTGTGTTTCTCAGGGTAATGTTCTGGCTCCCATACTTTACCAGGTTTATACAACTGGCATCCCATCCCATACTCGAACCACCGAACTCATCTTTGAAGACGTTACAGCGATCTCCCAAATAATTCTGATCCTGTTGTTTCTGCTCAAAACCTTCAACAACACCTCATATTAGTAGGTTCAAAACAGATCCCTCTTCCAGATTACTTCAATAATATTCCCCTTCCATCTGCGGACAAAGTGAGGCACCTAGGACTGTAAATAGACCAAACAATCAATCACAATACAAAACTAAAACGAAGGTATAACACAATAGTTTTTTTCATAAATTCTCGATAAACGCTTTGACTTCTCACACTTAAAGTTACCTTCGTGAAGCCGATATAAACTTACGGGCTACAAAGTGAAGTTCAGCCTTTCCAAATTGTCCAATCCATAATCCTTAGAAAAATTCTAGATGATCCATTTTATGGGACCAACTGAACTATCCATACAGACCGAAATTTTTCATACGACCATCCAACCACCCCACACTCAAATTCCGTTAAACTCTCCTCGTTAGCTATAAATTGCGCTTCGTTGTCCCTTGGCTTCACACCCTTTGTTCATTTCTAATGTAAAACCCTTATATGAATATTTACAGGGTGGTTAAACCCACTCGAAAACCATGGCCAATTCCGCAATATTACAAATCCTGATTTTCCGGTCCTGGCGGCGGTTTTGTGCTAAGGTCGCGGCCGACCCGTTTGCCGCAATGTCGCAGCCCCTTGGGCCAGATAAGTCTTCATTCACTCTGCCTTTCTTATTTCACATCTTGTTCCCTTGGCAAAGTCCTATGTAATATCTGTGAATGTTACATGAACATAAAACTTTGAAAACTTTCTTTTACGAGTCACGTGTAGTAAGAAACAGCTATAAGTAACTTTTGTCATTGTTATTATAATTAATTAAAATAAGTTAAAAATTATTAGTCGACCCGTTTATTCTGATAATAAAGTAATATCGGAAATAAAACAGCGTACCCATTGGTTTAAAAGTGAAGTTTAATACCTACCAGCATTTATACGAAAATAAATCACAATAATCACTGGGAATGTGACAAAAGTCATTCTGCTTAAATTCTAACGATAAAGAACAATATTTGCACACCTACTATGCGAA